ACAATTCAATTTTCAGGTTTGTCGATTCATAATTTTCAACCATTAATATATGTTGTTCTCTATTAGTAAAACAATTAAAAAATCAGATTTTAAGAATTTGCCACTACAAGAAATCTCGCAATTTAGTGGCGAAATATCCGTCGCTAACTCCGCTACAGAAATTCTTGGTGACGGAAATCACTGACGGATCGTCCGCCAGTAAATTCTGGAAGTAATATTGTTTGGTGGCGGATTTTCAAATATGTCAGTGATTAGAAGCGGACTTTTGTGACGGATGGTTCCGCCAACAGTTTTAGTGGCGGAATATCTATCACTATTATTCGCCGTTAATTAATTTTTATTTACAAAAAAAATATTCTTCATTTATGAATTGCTCTCAATTCAATTATTATTTATGTATGCCTACCAAACACTGTTTATATTAATTTATCAAATCAAAGCATGAAAAGATAAATTTGAACCATTAAATATAATTAAAATCAAATATTGCCAAAAAATAATACTCTGTATATTATAGTAGCTTAGATTTTACATTAATTAGATTCCGGGTCACTACTAAAGCCCCAACTATGCTAAATCCAAAAAAAACATCCAAGTCACTGTTAGTATCTAGTGTTCAATACTAAATCCAAAAAAGGCATACATATCACCACATTAATGTGGTTTAAAATGTTTAAGCCATTTCAAAATTAAAGCTATGCATCTAGTTGGATAAAGAGTCTCCATGTGACTGTTGAGAGCCTTGAGAGGATAAATCTTGTTGTGGAAAGAAGTTTGGGGCATCAATTCCATATGACTTGAAGAACGGAAGCCATGTTTCTTCAAAACTTTTAGGTTGTAACTCGGGATTCTTATTTTCCAAACTTTCATCCACAAGAGGCATAACCGGTGGAGCCTCATGAGCATGCGAAGACAACCATTTTCTCATATGCTCATCCCAAGCAACACAAAAATCATGCAAGCGTTTTGATGAAGATCCTTTATGATTTGACTCTAATTGGAGAAAAAACGCTTTGGAATACCTTCCCGTTCCCAAAATTCTTTTCTTGTTGTACCCAACGACATCAAAATACTTAAAATGCAACTCAGAAATTACTGATTTTGCTGCCGCAGAAATTTCAGCTTCTTGTGATTGATGTTCACTTTCAGCTTCATGGAATGTAGTAGACAGCTTGTTAATAACCTCCTGTGCAAACAAAATGATGCAAGTCACTCAAACATTTGATACTCTCTAATAAAAAACATTAGGTACAATGCATGGTATGTTGCACTACCTATTAAACTCATGAATCATCAACATCAAAATCAGAAAAAAGAACTAAAATCATACACTACACAATTAAAAAGAGAACATTGCCGGTATTTTTTTACAATAACGACACAACTCACAATTGCTCAAAAAATCTCAATAGGATGTTTATAGATTTAATACTATAAACTACGTGTAAAGTGGTGACCTAATACAATCTTGAGATCAAATCTTACATAAATAAAGTTACCAAATAGAGTAATTATCGAAAAGAATTTGATAAGTGTTAAAAATAACCAAACACATCCTCCACTCTTTTCTGAGATATGAATGTACAGTTAGCGTGTGTGTAGGACTACGTTTGAGGCTTTGAGCAAATTGGATAGTAGCAAGAGGGGAAGCATGGTGATAACTAAGCAAATAAAATCTTCATAGTCAGTTGTATTGGCCATTAGAAAACACTCCAAATATATACAATGCATTTACACACACAAAGCAGGGGTTAAAATCACAAAAAACAGCCCTTATATATAATGCATTTACACGCTCAGTACACGGGCTAAAAACAGAAAATAATACCCATATATACAATGCATTTACACACTTAATAAGGGGGCTAAAACAGAAAACACTGGCCATATATGTACAATACATTTACACACTCAATGATGGTACAAAAATCTTTAGGGTTTAGAGCAGATTGTTATATGGTTATACATTTAAATTAAATAAATTAAAATATTTATAAATGTAAAATATAGAGACCCAAGAAGCAGAAAAGTAATTACATACCATAACTTTCGGTTGTGAAGAATAATCAATTAGCTCTCCATTCTTCCTTTTCTTTGGATGAAAGGTCTCACAAAGTTTGACAGGATTTATATGTTCACCGGTAATCCTCAACTAAAACAAAATGCAAAAACATCATCCAATGAATCACCTAAAATTTGAGACATATATCAAAATAAATTTTAAACTCACCTCTTGGGCTGCCACATCAACCGCAGCTCGAGAACCCCCATATTGTTTGTATTTGTCCCCACCGGCAATACGATTTCTCTTACCAGCAGCAGATGCCCTCTGAAATTGCATTGACCTCTTATACTCTTCAACAGCAGCCCAAGTGAAGTCATTCACTGTTACAGGCCATTTTTCCCTTCAAGTGTAATAAGGATAACCATTATATTTCAAGTTAATTAAATAAATTGACTAGTAAAAATAAATATCATTCATTATGCTCACCTGATATCACCCATGATATTGGAGTAAGCACGATTCTGTAAATACTTTTCATAACCTTCCTTGATGTCTTTAAGTTTGAACTCAGAAATATTCCAAGTGACTACATCCTATATACAATCAAACCTTCAATCTTTAAGAATATAGGTGCTTTTGAGTTAAAATAAAGTGTTTAACTCCAGAAAAGGTATGACAAACACTTGAAAACACTTGAAAACACATACCATATATAATTATATTCTAAAACAACACATATTACTCACACATACCTGGAATTGTTCCCAATATAACTGTTTAGTTTTATCAGGGACCCATTTCCATTGTTGTCCAACTGGATGAAGATTATACTTGATTTGTTTTGAGACAATTCTTTGAAAATTTAGACTTGTTTTGGTAACAGATATGTTGATTAGACTGCATATAAAGTATACATTATTTATTAGTAATTGTATAGTAGCATTAAAGAATAATGTATACGCATAAATAATAGTTAATATTACACTTACTTTCCTGCGGCATTTACACCGACATTGGGTCTTTCAAATTTTGCCACTGACAGAGATTTGAAAGGATCTAATGGCTCTTCTCCCCAATTAAGATCACCGTAGGTATTGGGTTTCCAATCAACGATCTCATCTTCCACATCTTCATTGTCTTCAAATAGATCATCATGTATATGTGATGTTGAAGGATGTTGTTGGTGAGAGAATGTACGACTCTGTTGCTGGTGGTTTAGGGATGGAGAAATGATTGGTTGTTGGTTATTTAGTGGTGTGATATTTGGCCTAGGACCTCGAGGTAAACTATATTGTGAAGGAGGCGGTTGGGGAGGTTGCCTTGTTTGCGGCATCTGTTTAGTTGTGTTAATAGACTGCCTTCTCCCATGTGAAGAAACGGGTGGAGATGGTGTTGAACGGCTAGAACTGCCCAATATCACTTGGGTTACATGCCCTGATTTGTTATCCTGATAGCCAGATCCAAGTCCTGGGCTAGGAGTCAAGCTTCGCTTTAGTAAAGAAGCCGATGGAGATGGCGTTGAATGGCTAGAACTGCCCGACACCGCTTGAGTTACATGATATTGTTTCTTATTCTGACAGGGAGCTCCAAGTCCTTTAAATGTGGACATTTTTTTATTTTTAAAAGGACCTATGTCAAAAAGAGTGAAACATAAATTAAATAAGCCAATTCAGCCACTTCAGCCAGAACTTCATAAATTTCAGCAGAATCAGCCAATTCAGCCAATTATGATGTTACCAAACTGGCTCTACATATTTAAATGTTTGAAGCTTTATCATCCTATTATTATAAAATTCAAAAATTATAAATAGTATGCTTAAAAAATAAAATTCAAATAATTGCTCGATTTTTTTTGTTTTTACCGAAACAAATTGATAATATAAAAATAAAGAAATACACATTGATCGCCACCACTTTAAACATCATCATCATCTGTGCATTCAACTTCATCTTCTTGAACACCATTGTTGTTATTATCTCCATGCTCATTGTCATATGCTCCGTCTAATGTGTCATCCATATACTCTGGAGCAGTCGAGGTGGCAGGACGACCACTAGGGTCATCAATATGTTGTGCCCTTGAAAAATCTAACTCTATGTAGAATGAGATTCTTGGTTCATTTTCTTGCAATGCTGATGGTTCTTCCTCTTCTTCTTCTTCATTTGATTCTTCACCTCGTTCTTTCTCCACAAAAGCTCGGGGCATGCATTGAACAACAGATTGCCATCTGTTGACCTTCCTCTTTGCACTCGGATACGGTACATACACAACTTGATCAGTCTGTGATGCTAAAATATAGCAATCTGGAGTACGAAGTCGGTGTTACATGTGCACATCAACTATGTTGTATAATGGATGGACTCGTGTACCTCTATCAGAAGGATCAAACCATTCACATTTGAAAACAAGTACCTTGTAATCTTGATATTCAACTGAATTATTTCTTGTATCAATCCATAGTAATCGAGCCTCGATCCATCAAAACTTGTGCACTTCACCATAACTCCGCAATTACATGTAACTCTGTCTTCAGAACGCTCAATAGTGTTAAATTTATAGCCGTTTATATTAAGCGTCTGGTAGTCACATATGGAGAGGGTAATCTAGATAAAGCACGAAGCCATCGTGGATGATCTATTGTGTCGTTTTCCACCTAAACAAAGCACAAAATCTTAATACATACAATGTATAAAACTCTATACAGTACGTAGTTCGACTTTATTTAATTAAATAAGGTAGTTTAGATTCTCACGTAGTGGTAAAACCAAAAAGGAAAGTTGGCTTGTAGTTGGACTTCGTCAGAACTAGATAATCATGTTGTATTGATAAACATCCTGTAATAAAAGACCACACTCACATTTAAATATAAGTACATTCAATATATCACACCACATTAAAAATGACCAAACAATGCTTAGAATTGTATGACTTACTCTCGGAATGGTTGGATTTCTACACAGTTCTGCAACACATATGAGTGAACATCACTAGATTCGTTTTGGTTCATGTGTCGCCGCGTGCTTGCACCGACTGCTTTTGCCTTTTGTGCAAAAATTGAAGCGCTAGCATCATCATTAATAAAGAAACCACCATCCAATCTATGCACACGGCGTTCCTTTGTAACCACTTCCTCCGGGAAATAGTAACTCGCAAATGTACCCATCTCACTTTGCAAATAACCTTCCCTGATTGAGGCCTCAACTCTTGCCTTGTTTCCTATTTTTGTCTTCAAGACTGATCCTAGGAAACTATGTCAATGATAACACTTAAGACATGAAGTAAAATTTATAAAAGATTATAGTAACCAAAAGAGAAAAAGTAAAAGACACTAACTTTTCAAAACGATACATCCAACGATACTGTGCAGGTCGGCCCCATAAAGCTTCATCTGGTAAATGTACAACAAGATGCTCACTGGGGTCAAAGAATGACGGTTGGAAAATCTTCTCCAACTTGCATAGAATAATGGGAATATCTGCCTTTAGCTTCTCCATGTCAGAAACGGTGATATTCTTTCTTGTTAACTCACGAAAGAATAAGCTAATCTCTGTGATTGCCTCCCAAATCGAAGCAGGTAACATCTCTCTAAAAGCAATCGGAATTAAACGTTGCATAAACACATGACAATCATGACTCTTCATGCCAAACATTTTAAGTTTTTCCATTTCTATGCAACGCCCTAACCGAGAAGCAAAGCCGTCAGGGAACTTCAATGAATCAACCCAGTTGCATAACACTGTCATTTGCTCACTTGAAAGAGTAAAAGGAGCCTCAGGGAATTTTCCATGACTTTCCCTCTCGATACTCGGCCTATGGAAAATTTGTTCCATATCCATTCTCCCTTTAGCATGGTCCTTCGATTTTCCTGGCACCCCCAAAATTGTATAGAACATATTCTCAAAGAAATTCTTCTCTATGTGCATCACGTCGAGATTATGTCGTACAAGTAAATCCTTCCAATACGGGAGATCCCAGAATATACTACGTTTCTTCCATCCAATATCTTTTCCAGCTATTTTATTATGCTCAATACCTCCTAGTTCAGTCACGGGCATCAGGGAACCGACCTCATCATAGCAGTATGAACCATCTCTCGGTAACAGAGGGCCATAGAAGATTGATTTTCCCTTAGTAAAGTTCTCATTATCAAACCGAAATGGATGATCACCTGGTAGGAACTTTCTATGATTATCAAGCCAACTATGTTTTTTGCTATGGGATAACCAAAATGCTTCAGTAAACTCAGCACAACATGGACATGCAAAGTTTCCCTTTGTACTCCATCCAGAAAGCATGGCATATGCGGGAAAATCACTTATTGTCCGTAGCAACATAGCTCGCATATTGAAATTTTCCCTTGAGAATGCATCATACGTTACAACCCCAACCTCCCACAGTTGTTTCAACTCTTCTATCAATGGTTGCAAATACACATCTATCCCATTTGTTGGTTTTTTTGGTCCAGGTACCAATATAGACAAAAATAAAAATTTTTGTTTCATACACATACCTGGTGGCAAGTTGTATGGTGTCACTATGATAGGTCAACAAGAGTATTTCTGACCAAATTGCCCAAATGGCTGGAACCCGTCACTGCATAAACCAAGCCTAACATTTCTCGGGTCTTCAGCAAAATCTGGATGGAGATTGTCAAAATGAATCCACGCCTTTGCATCCGACGGATGCTGCATCACTCCTTCTTCTCTATGGTGAACTTTGTGCCACCTCATTTTCTCCGCGGTAGTATCTAATGCATAAAGCCTTTGTAATCTAGGAGTAAGTGGGAAGTACTCCATTCTTGCAAGTGGAATTGGTTTTTTTGTTTGCTTACTGATCCTGTATCTTGCACCACCGCAAAACTTGCACTCCATTAGCTCACTGTCTCCGTTCCAATATATCATGCATCCTTTTGGGCAACAGTCAATAGACTGGCTAGTCATTCCCAACAACGATAACTTCCTTTTTATTTTGTTGAAATTTGGTATAGGCCTGTTGGGGATTTTAGTTGGGAAAAATCTACTAACAAATTGAGCAATCCTGTCTGTAGCAGCCTCAGATAGATTCATCTCAGTCTTTATGTTCAACATTTCAGACACTGCGCTCAACTCAGTCATCGGACAACCCTCAAAGCATGGTTGACTCATCATATCTAGCATCTCATACATCTTCTTTGCTGCTGCACTAGGCTCATCACTCACAAGAAAATCGCCTTGATTTTCTGTTGGGAATTCATTCCTCACTGCATCCTCAAACATCGATTTGTATGGATCATATTGGACCTCAGATGCATTACAATGCGAGGAGTTAGGTTGATCAAAATAAACCAGACCATTTGAATTGGGTGTCTCTCCATGTGCTGCCCATACATAATAGTCATCGTTAAAACCTTTCTCAAATAGGTGTTGCTTAACAATATCCCAAGTCAACCATTTTCGATTTTTACACTTTCTACAGGGACATGCAATGACACCACTAGAATATAAAGTTACCGTTGTCTGAATGAACTCATTGACACCTTCCTTGAAATCATCATTTAGACATCCTCATCTCTCTAATCTTTTGTACATCCATGACCTATTATTACTCATACTGAAATAAAACGACATACATTATATTTTCATTGAATAAACTAAATAAAGTAGCAATATAAATATATCATGAATAAAGTATTTCCAAATTTTCTCTTAAGAAATTAATATGAATTAGAATTTAAGTTTCCATCTACATTATACATTTTATTTTTTACTATATTATCTCCAAATTTTTTATAAATAATACGAACAACATATATCTATTATTGAATTTCATTCAACACATCTAACTTGAACAAGCAATTTCCTATATTTATTTTCTAACAATAATCTTCAATCTTGTAATGAACATAAATATAGTTGAATTGTATTTTTTAAGGGAAAATAAGGAAACCAAACAAACAAGGAGAAAATGTCTCTAATATATAAACATATATGCACATGATAAGTTAATTTATAAATTAAAATAACTTTAATTTCAAAAAAAGGTAAGAATTCTAACCTTTTTCGAGTTTGGAGTTGCTGAAGAAAGCATGTCCAGAGAGGTGTGAGGATAAGGATTGTGTGTGGAGTTAGAATGGGTTGGTAGGTAGTATTTATTTTTTTGAATTAGTGGCGGATATTAGTGTCGGACTGATTTCCGTCATTGTTTACTGACGGTTAATACTGGCGAAACATCCGCCACTAAATACCGGCAGATGTAACACCCCCATTAAATTCTGACACTAAATACCGTCGGACTCATTTTCGCCATAAAAATCGGCCACTGATTAGCGGAATTCTTGTAGTGTGCAATGAGACAAATTTAACATGTCAAAGTAAAACATGTGAAAAGAGTAAAATTAAACATGTTGCACTTATTTAAAAACAAAAGAAGTATATGACAAAGTTCAATAATATTGAAATAATTTACGTGGGGTATATGCAAATACACTACACTAACTTCTCTTATTATAATATTGCCTAACTATGGAAATCAAAATAATATACGTTTAAAGAAACATGCATGCATGTTATTTTAGGCATGATGAAATGCCTCATAAACTCTCGTAAGTATTGAAGGACATTGTAACAAGAATCTCCTTTAAGAAATATGGTGGTCCACATTTTAAGAGCGTCTAGGTGAAAAAGAAGAAGGTTCAACCCAATGGTAATGGTGATCAAGACAACAAAGATTAGAACCTTTGGATCCACAACCCCCCAAGACTCATATATCCTGACAGAGCATTTGGGATTGCAGAGCAATCGTAAAATTATCGGAACCAAAAGGAAAAGTGTTAGGTGAAAAGGGAGTAGAGTGGTGGGGCAGTGTGGCACATGCCCAGGACCCGTCTCTTAAATACATGGACCCCATATTTTTATATGCTACTAGTAAATTGCTCGCGTTGTGCGGATGTAATATGCCGAATTCTCAATTTTAATGAATTTTGTAAAATGTGTTCAACATAAGTATTCATGAAATGTTAATTTTATGAGATATATAGCATAACATATAAGTAGTATTAAGTTCACAAATAATGAGATATAGTTGAGTTGGATGGCGTTACTCTTAAATACCTTAAACAATGATAAAGTAACCAAGGCATCATCAATATTATTAGTGTGATAGTATATATTTAATTTAAATAAACAAATATAATGGGAGTTTAGGAGCCACAATATATCTAGGGAAATATCAAGGCAATTTTGAAAAGAACAGGTAAAAAATTCAGAATATAATTGTTTTGGAGTTTGAACATTGATTCTCCAAAAGATGTTGAAACTTAAATAGTGTGGAGATTTAAGTGGTTGACATATAAGGTGGTGATCTCCTATGAGTGAAAGTTATATACCCTTCATTGGAACTTATATAAATAATTCAAAACCTATGATGATTATATATAATAGTTTAAAAGAATTAGTAAGATGGACATTTTAATAGTTATATGTCCATTACCGAAAGTTATCAATTGTAAAAATGATTGAATTCAAAATAGTAATGTATATGATGGATAGTGTACCCGGGGGTAGCTTATCCGAGGGGTTATTACGGGGAGTGATAAGAGAGAAGTCAGAGCAAGTAAATATAGAGAGAGAAAGTATATTATCAAGTGTGGAGCGTTTTCAGCGTGGTTACAAACGGGGAAATGAGGTGCTATTTATAGTAGCAATAAATGCCGGACAAGAACACGTGTCAAGCGCCCATTGGCCGAGAGGTCACCTCAACTGGTTGGCGCTGGCAGCCGCATGTGGCCGCATTTAATGCGGCTGTTGGATGGGACGTTTGTACAGGGTACGGTGATCTGTACGCATGTGGTGCGGATATCATGTCGGGAAAGGTGCCCTCGGCTGTAGAGGACTAACCGAGGGCTCTGAGTACTGGGGACCCTCTTGGTGCCGAGGGCTAGTGATTTTCGCCGTTTTCCCCAGTCATCTTAGTTTGCTTGAAAACCCGTTCTGTGAGAGTTTTGAGCCTTCGGCCAGGGGCCCGAAGGCTCCCCAGTGTGCGCTGTGGGCTGCTAAGTGCTTGGGGCGCCGTAATTTGGGGCCTGTTGTGCTTCCTGGGACGGTTGGGCCTTTATTGGTGTAGTAGGAGTATGTGGGCCGGGGGTTCCCGGGCCATATACTCCATCAGGAGTCCCTCACTCCTTTTGCCGAAAGGTACTTGAGGGCAAAGGAGTAATTTGTGCTTGCCCTTTGATGTTGTCCCGTTGTAATCTCTGAAGTTGGTGAGGAGTCGTTGCTTTCATGTCCCTGTCGAAGGCAGTCCCTCAGTTACCCACATGTCGGGAAATGAGGGATTGCTTTGCCGTTTGTTGGAATTTTTCACCTTTTTGTAATTTAATGATTTTCCCGAGGGGGTCCTCCAGTCCCCCACTCCTTGAGGCACTTGTAAAGTGGTGAAAAGGAGTAGAGTAGTTGCGCTGCTGTTGTGGGCCGAAGGCTGACGCTCTTCGTTTCATTTTGGGGGGATGCCTCGTTAAAAACCTCATTAGGGAAAACCCGGGGGGGGGGGGGGGAAGGAAATCCTAATGAGGGAAAAAGAGTGCACCGAATTCCCCCAACGATGAATCGAAAATG